CTTCGGCGCGGAACCGAAGCAGGATGGCGAGCAGGTCCTGCTGCAGCTTCGGACCGCTGAGCAGGGTGTCGTTGATCGACAGACCGTCCGGGCCTCGCGAGGACGCGTTGAACACTACCCGCAACTTAGTGGTAGTGCTATCGAGTTTATACACACCGTGGTGCGGTAGATAATAAATGTGGCCATCCGACGGGAATGGATTGCGAATTACCTCCATGTGTCCGCTATCGAGATAGTCCCGCATGAAACTATTGTAACCAGCTCTGAACTCCGGATCAGATTTAAATCGACGTTCTAGTGCGCGGAGACGACTAACCGCAATGGAGCGCGAGCCGACGAATGTAGGAGGATCCGACACGAACGGGTACGAGACCACGAAACGACCCGAGGGGTCACGATACGTGGTCTTGGCGAAGATTTCTTTGCAGCGTCGATCCTCGTCCGAACAAGAAGCGTCCTCCGGCACCTCCTCCAATTGCCAAAAACGACCCACCGATGTCGCGATCGACTCGAGCGTAGTCGCGAATGACCTCAGGGGCGCTGCCTGGACTGATGGGGATACCGCGCCCGTCAGAACCCATCCGAAGACTGAATTGAAGGCGTCGGGTTCTCCCCTTTCCCCCTTACGACGGCCCTCCCGTAGCACCGACACAAACGAGTCCGCCCCCAGGAGGATGTCAACACCGCCGGGCACGAAATACTCGGGATCCGCGAGCGGCAATCCCTTCAAGTGTTTCCACGGCTGGACCTCCACCTTGTCATTAGGCAGCGGCGAGGTTATGCGAGAGAGGACCGTAGTCTCTATCGAGAACCGAGTGTCGTCGCGACCGCGCGCGCGGATCACGAGGGAGGTGAGGCCCCTCGTCGTGGCCGCCCTGGCTTCGTTTATCGCCAACACGGTTGCACTGTGTTTGGTGCGACGAAAGCCGCCCTTCCGGAGGCAGCCCTCGGTAATAAAGTTGGCCTGACTCGCGCTGTCCAGCAATATGCGTACGGGGAACGCATTGCCACGCGCGTCTATCGCCTCGGCTCGTACGGTGGACAGGAGGACGATTCTATTGGCCCGGCTAGTCATTGTTACAATCGGCGCATCCTCCGACTGAGGAGCGGGTACGGCGTCCGGTTCGGCAGGAGTCGCGCTAATGGATTCGGGCTTAGGAGTAGTATTAGAGCTCTGCTCGTAATGCAGAAGCGTATGATGCTTCGTGCCGCAGGACCGACATGCCCACGCGGACGGACAGTCTTTCATGCCATGCCCCGAGCGCAGGCAGTTGAGGCACAATCTCAAGTCGCGAGCCTTAGCCTGCCTCTCCCTCGGCGAGAGTTTTAAAAACTGGGAGCACTTCGACACGTAGTGAGACTCCTTACAAACGGAGCAATCGGCCGCGTTAGTCACGAACGAAGAGACCGGTGTGGACTTGGTTTTGGAGGACGGGCCCGCGACGGCCTCGAGAACCTGACAATGCTCCGCTAGAAATTTCGTGAGTTGTGTATATCGCGGTATCTCCTCAGCCCGGTGAGCCGACTCGAATTTTTCCCGAAGGGAACGGGGAAGCTTGTCTAACAAAAACTTCAGTAGGATAAAGTCCCATGAATCGGTAGGAAACTTCATCAATGCGAGCGCGCGCGTGTTCTCGGTAAACGTATCTAATAAGTGGTGAAGAGCCTCGGCCGTCTCCGCCTTCAATGGCTTTGCCTCGATTATCGAATTCAAGTGATGGTCCGCTAACCTTCTCTTATTCCGGTATCGATCGACCAGCGAGTCGTAAGCGATCAGATAGTACTCATCGGAAAACGGCAGGTTTTTCACCACGTTGAGTGGTTCCCCTTTGAGTGAAGCCAGCAGATACTGGTATTTCTCTATCGCGGAAATCTGCTGGTTATGTATCGACGCGTTGAACAACGCGATGAAGGAAGGCCACAACGTAAGGTCGCCGGAAAACTGCGGTAGCGGGATCTTAGGCAACTTGACCACCGAGGCCTGACCCGAGGGCTGTGCCGGCGCGCCTCCGAATGGCGCGCCCGTTTCACGGTGATATCGACTCTTTACGGCGTAATGCATTTTATCGAAACTGGCTCGGATTTCGTCCTCGACCTCGAAATCCGCCGCTTCTTGGATGACCTTCAGGTGGGTGGCCTCAAAATCGTCCGCGATCTTCGCTACGCTCGAGTAGCGAGCGAGGAAGGTCGCTCGTATTGCCGCGTCGGTCGCGGCTTGTAGGGAGAGGTCGTGTATTTCTTGCATACGCCGATTGCATACTTCGCGACGAGCATATGCGTTTTTCGACATGATGCAACAAAGGGGTCGTCCACCACAGACAGACGAAGCTAAGAGCGAAGGGTAAACGACGAATAGGCAGTCGGAGGCGACGGCAACTCGAACCAACAATATCGAAACCCGGCGAAAACAATCACGAAAGTCAAGTCGCCAAGGTGAGGGGTAACGGACGGCTCCGTTCGGTGCTCGCGCAAGTCCCGAGGGAATATTCTCGATAATATTCCTCGAGTTGAACGCGGAGAATATCAGCCGTTGGATTAGCGCGATAAACACGCGTCGCAGAGTTCGAAAGGCAAATATTCTCGATCGGTGACAATAATATTTTCGAGCGATGGTACTCTCGGACGGATCACGAATGTCGGGATAATGCAAGTGCTGGGTCGGGCGGTACGTACCTCGCAACGACGTAAACACGAGCGATGCTCGAGATTATACAGAAAAACAACGCGCGCGAGACCGGCCCGTAATCGAAGGCCACGGCCGTTGTCTCTATGCGCGAAAGTATCGCTGGCCCGGAATACTCGGATATTCGACCGAATATTTCGGTTACGATCAAGTCAATTAAATGGCGACTAATTACCGCGGCGAGCGCGGATTCGATTTTAAGGCGATTAACGGCTGCGGCCCGAGCTATGACGAACGAAGTTCGCACGCGTATTCCCGTTGCGAAGCTAGCGTTGCACGAGAGATACCGCGCGAGACACGAGTTGTCAGCACGCCGAGCGTTATTGCACCTCGTTAATGCAAGAATAAGAATTCAGCGAATTCGCGTAGATTACAGGCGGCTAATGGCCGATTGCGCGATGCTACGCGAGAATTCCCTTCGCGAAGCAAGCGTTGCGATACGGGAGATCCTGCGAGACCCGCAAGGTCACGCGCTATTGCACTACGCGTTACAGAAAGATTCGGTGACTTAGAACAATGAAAGGACACGCGAAAGGTCGGCGGTAATAGACTAATCGCGAAGATATGACTATCCGGCTCGAAGGACCAGATGCTCGGGGGGCGGTAGAGCCGTACCCGGATTTGCGATAAAGCGAAGCTCGAAGGACCAGGGGGTGTAAGTCTCCCCAAAGCGAGTTATTTTAAGCAAATGCGACTCACCGTTCGTTGTGCCGTCGACTCCTGGATGCTTCGGCTCGGTCGCGATCGGGCTCGTGCAGCAGCGCAAGCAGGGCAGCAAGCAAGGCAAAAGCGAGGCAGGCAGCAGTAAGTTAAGGCAGGCAGCAAGCAGGCAGGAGGAAGCAGGTAAAGGCAGCACACAAACAGGCCGAGAAAGTAGGCGATCGCACTATCCGGGAGCGAGCGGATGATCTCGCGACTCCGGATATTAGCGCAAGTCTCTCTGCTCCGATAATCTCTCTGTGCTCCGTTAATCTCTCTGTGCTCCGAGACGTCGTAACGATGAGACGTCGTAACGATGAGTGACGAGAGCTCGCGGCGCTGGAACAGTGTCGCGAGCGAGTACTTGTTCTTCAGGCGGGTGCCCTCGTGGGGTGAGCGAGGGCAGCACCGATTGGTGAGTCGCGCAATTATCGATTCCGCGTTGATCGCGATCCGCCGACGTTTCGCGCGAGTCACCGAAATACTTAAGACTAGGTACGCAAGAATACTATGTACAACGAGTAACGAGACTAAACAATTAAGTATGATACATGCATCTATCTACAGTTTGGTGAGCGCCAAACATACCGCCCACCAAAATACAACGAGTTGTATTTTACTGTCAATTTGAATCGGTCGCCTGTGGAGCAGGGCCCATCGGCAGGGGGCACAGCTTCACTAGGGGACGCGTGATCGTGCCGTCCGCCACCCGCACCGTGGCGACACGCGGGACGTCGTCGCTGCCCGGATGCAGCGCCTCCACTCGTCCTCGCCTCCAACGCAGAGGAGGCATGTTGGCGTCCTTGAGGAGGACTAACGCACCGACACCGAGCGGGTTGACTGAGGTCCACCATTTGGGACGCTGTTGCAGCGTATGGAGATACTCCTGATGCCAGCGCTTCCAGAAGTCCTGGTGTATTCGTTGGACGAGTTGCCACCGACTCAGCCGATTCATCGGTAACGGGGTCACGTCTTGAGTGGGAACGGAGACGAGCGGTTCCATCGTGAGGAAGTGACCCGGCGATAGGACTTCGAGGTCGGCAGGGTCGGTGCTCATCGGGCAGAGGGGTCTGGAATTCAAGACGGCCTCGACCTGCGCGAGGACCGTCGTGAATTCCTCTATTGAGAGGACTTGATCACCCACGGTCCGCCGAGGTGGGTTTTAAAGGTCTTGACTCTCGCCTCCCAGAGGCCCCCGAAGTGGGGCGCGGAGGGAGGATTAAAGGACCACTTGATCTTCTCTCGCTCCGCTGCGAGGCTCATGCGGCTTTCTAGTTCCCGTGCGGCCCCTACAAAATTCGTTCCGCAGTCGCTGTAGAGAAGCGAGCAGCGTCCGCGTCGGGCCACAAAGCGTCGCAGCGCAGCGAGAAAGGAGTCGGTGGACAACGAGAAGGCGGCTTCCAGGTGCACCGCCTTAACCGAAAAGCATACGAAAAGGCACGCGTACACTTTGACGGAGGAGACCCCCCGGGCTCGTCGCGTAACTATGTTGAACGGTCCCGCGAAATCAACGCCGCTGATCGAAAATGGCTTGGCCTGTCGGACCCTATCGGCCGGTAGTTCCGCCATGAGGGGCTGAGAGGTGTGTGGATTTACGCGGAAACATTGATGACATCTCGAGAGTACGCGTTGTATAGCGCGATGCACCCCGAGGACCCAATAATGTTGCGTGAGCAGGTATTGCAGCGTGCGCCGACCAGGGTGCATGTTCGTGCGGTGCACGTGCTCGATAACGAGATCCGTGAGCCTATGTTTACAGGGCAGTAAGGCAGG